GGTGAGGGTGGGCCCTAGACTCTAGGCGGGTCCATACGTTGATGGGAAGTAGCAAAAGTACAAAATGCCCCCGACGGTGTTTTGGTCCTTCCCCATGCTATGTAAAGCTTTAGCCTCAGGTGCAGGAGAGAGCTACTCCTTTTTTGCCTGAGAACAAAAGATGATTATGTTCAGATCGATTAGTTTATTAATGACGCTTTCAATATTACTGATTCCAATTTTTTACAATTTATTTATCATCGAGGCTTCATTCAGGACTTCTCGAAGAAAATGCACGCAATTGTTGGTTTTATTGCTACTGTGCTAGCAGTGATGCAACCGTTCGCAGCATTTCTACGCCCGTCTCCGAATTCGCAGTACCGTTTCATTTTCAACTGGGGTCATTGGCTGATTGGAATGACTGCGTGGGGTTTCGCAAGTGAGTTACCGTACTTTCAAGTTCGATGTTGAATAGTCGCTCTAGACGCACCGTCACTACCTTAGCAAAATGTGATGCGCTGCCTGGGCAGCATTTTCCACCAATTCTCTGGGATTCAGGATGGTCTCGATAGGTGGAAAAGGCTGCCTGGCTGCGCTCCAGTCCACGCCCCTGACACGCCCTCTCGTTAGCAGGGATAATGAACCCACGTGACCACACTCTATGCCTTCGTTGTAGAGAGGGTTCCCCAATCAGCCTCAGATGAAAATCCTCTGCTATCCAGATTTTGACTATTGATCGACGAGGCACCCCCCCCCCGAGCCTTCGAATGAGTATCCTAGTCTTGGGCGACTTATGTCTCCGTTGGCCCTGAGATTCCAGCAGCCTCGCCCGAGCGGTCCCAACCGACGCCGCCCTGTTGGTGGTTCCTTCAGGTCAAGGGAATTAGGCCTATATCCTACTGTTTTCGGTGTAAAAAATTTGACCGCGAGTAGCTCTGCAGGCTCTAACATGGCACCCTCGCATTGGTACGGTTTGAAACAGTCCAATCCATTCATCCCCACGCGACGCTGAGACCGTGGATAGGATTCGTGGGGGAGGGGGTGCGGCCGGATAAGACAACATAGAAAAGACGCCTTCTTTCAAACGACAAAAAAGAAAAAAAGTCTTAAAAAAGCCCAGTCTTTAGTTATAAAGAATGTCTCCGGAAACCATTTACTGGTTTTTTGCTGTAGTAAATAGATATTATTGTTTGGTTCAGGTACGGCCATGCATCTTATTCGACTTACCAAATGGTTAAGGACAGCGTTGAGACTACGGTACTATGGTCGTCCCAATTGGATTATGGGAGGTTACATTCTGTTCTTCATTGGAATAAATGTTATCATGGAGATGCTCGCTACAAACAACGAACCCCGAATGGAGAAAAATGGTAACAATATGTTTATTCTCGTACTGTCCAAAAAGTAGAAGTGAAAAGCTGAAGAACTTCTCATATCCTCAGCAGCCGTTTTCATTTTTGAAATATAGCAGATCCGTTCGATGCTTTTCAGTTTCGGAACTTAAGCCGCATCGTTTTATTGTAGGACCGAATGGTATGGCTCTTTCGCATTTGAATGGGCCTGCCGTTGAATCTCCACTGGCTCCACCGACGGTAAGTTATTTTATCTGCACATAACACTGCACCGTTTCAAATCTTCGTTTCATGCGCACCCCCCCCTCCTCCCTTCCTTCTTTCACTACCCTATCCCACCCACCATCTTCTCAAATTCTTCCAATTTCCTGCCACAACTCTCCAGTTTTTTCACTATAAAACTGCCATTGATCGAGGTTGCTGGAGGAGGAGCAACGGAGCGGTCTGCAACATGAAAACGGGGAAAACCAAAAAAAAGTCAAGCGTACCGAAAGAAAGTAGCACCTGCGTTAGGTTCCAGACTGCGACCTAGAGATTTTGTTTTCACTTTTAAAATCGGAGGCGCCACTTATACACGCGTTCGATTCTTTCTGGCTTGGCAAAAAGCATTTTCGTCAGTGCAACCTTAATCTTCCACCTAATGGGGGGGGGATACGCTTTCAAACGGAGATTACTTATGTTGTCCAAAACTGGATCTATCCTAAAAATGACATTAGATTTGATGAAATCTTTTATTTCGCACGCAAGATCTTATTACAATCACTTTTTGTCCGCAACACATCATGTTAGGCTGACCCTGCGAACGATGTCCACCTTTGGGATGGGCTCACGGGGTGGATTATACGTGAAAAGAGGTTCTCGATACCCCACTTCTTGCAATTTTCCTACCACCTTTCCCAAAAGGAGGCCGGTCACCTGTGACTAATTGGTAGAATTAATGGTCCCCTCTCAACGTTCGATAGCGGAAGGGGGCGAACGTATGGCAGGCATCAAGCAGCAAAACCAACAGTAAGAAAAGAAGTCACACCTAAAACTCTCTACCCTCCCGAGATGGGATTCGTGCAGATTGTGTATGTACGAATCCCATCTGTCTCAGAAGATAACGAGGAGCAATAGCAAACAAAGCTTTCTGGCCGCATCTTTTGCCTCTACGATACAAAGGTCGCCTTTTCAGGGCAGCTTGGACGGTATTTTGGTACTCGGGTCTGAACCATAGCAGGGTATTATGGTAGAAAATACGCGAAAAAACGAAGTGAAACGCGTCAAACCTTTGGGAGAAAAGGCCTTGTGCTTAGTGTTCAAGCCAATTTCGAGAGGAGTTTACCATTGGCATGTGCCGCACCGCGAGTGGAGATACGGGTACATGTATGTGCTCATATATCCTGCCAGCACCGCAGCTGTTTCATGTCAATCCCTTCGCTTCATATTTCACTTCGCAAATGGAAGCGATACGATCACCAGTATCAGTCATTTGTGGGCCGTTGGGCGCGGTGGGCGTCCCGGTCGGTACGTTGCAGCGATAAGTCCTATATAGAGTACCTTCCGTCCTGCCAGGTGTTTTGTTATATCAACCAGCTTCATGGGGAGTTATCCTGGCAGGCTGCCTTCAATGGGTATGTGGCCAAGAAATCGCTTAAATATGTTGCGCTGGTGGGGATGCGAACGACGCCGCCGTTCGCGGACGAACATCCTGTCTTGGCTTTGGAATCGAGTGTTAAGGAGACGGAAAATAGGGTATATCCTCACGGTCATAGCTTGAACTCATAAGTTTCGCTGCTCCAATCCACAAACAATGCACAACGGAATCAGTCGCACATCGCCGCATGACACGCCGCGCGCGACGCAAGAAGGTCCAACAATTATTGCGTTTCTGCTGTTTTAACCTATAAAACTTCCATTGGCATCAAATTTTCACCCTAGTGGAAATGAACCAACGCAGTTGGGACGCCCCAGCATGGCGCTATATCTGTTCGTTTCCAGCACAAGACTCCAGCTCTACTCGCTTGCAGCGAGTGTGCCTGAAAGGGATCAAGCAGATTGGTTGTTTGGTCTCAGGGCCTCATAGCCCTGTTCTTGTAAGCACAATCGAAGGGTGTGATGCGGATCCTATGACTGGTGACACCCAATGCTTCATATTTCACCGTGGTCCGAAGGCCATGTTTTTTTACTGGTATCCTCAACGGCGGTGGGTGAGGAATGGGCTGTTATAGAAACCCAAACACGTGCGAAAATGTTTCGATGGGATGGGAAGAGGGGTGTCGCACCATAGGGGACGTTTCAAGGGGGGGGGTCGTATTCTGCAAAATTCCACCCCAACAGCAGAACGTGCCTGCGTGAGAGTGGACATTTGAAGAGAACCGAAATCTCTGCGAGCGTATCTAGTCGTCAGCCTGCACCAGTACTGGATTCTCTGCTTCTTTGAACATGAGACCGCAAGCAGCTTTAGCCTAGAGTAGCTGGTATGTGGGCGAAGGGCAAGCGGTCAGTCCAGTCCAAAACTATGCTCACTTGGTTCATATTCGTTACATATTTCAGTATGCGAGGGCCCGTCTGTTCTTCTTCTTTTTGCATCTAATCGTCGCATTGGGAGTTGCTATCACAATTACGGTAATGCTGGTGAAGATACTGTTGTCGCACTCTCCATGATCTACCGTATGCTGTTTGTCGTGTCTTCACTTATTCTTCTGCCTACGAATTGCTCATGGCTAAGGGCTAACAGCTAGCTGTAGCCATTACTTCATTTCTAAGTCTTTTTTCCTCTCAAATCGATCATATCCACTTGCCTTCTCTGTAAAGCTGTAAATGTTTGTACAATTGTTTGCATCTATCGTTGTCACATAAATATTTATATGAAATATAAATACTATGTTACAGTGATTGCCGATACTTCTCACGAAGTAGAGCTGATAAATGTTGTTGGAAGATCCATTGAAGAGGTACATAGTGAATTTCGAGTGCGTTTAAGAGTTGCTGGCTCAGAATGAAGAAGAATTTGAAACTGGTAATACATCAATATTGACTGAAGAGCTTCATTTCGCCCTTACCTTCCATTCGAATGAAGGACTAGAGGGCACGAATGCCCTTCATACAATTTTAACACATTCACGGCAAGATGAGTCACCGGTGACTCACAACGTTTGCACTTCTTTTTGGATTGTATCTCACAGATGCTTCTCAGCTTTCCAATCATTTATTTTATGTGAGTGTCTCATGGTTACGCAATCGAAATGTTGCTCTTTTTATGGACTTTTTCCAATCAAAATTGTTTCCATTAGTTCTTTTGGCTTACATACTAATAACCTTGAAACGTCGAACAATCACATTTCCCTAGAACAATACCTACAGGAACTATTCGGGGTCCTGATTACGAATACACACTAAATCAAAATTGATAACATACGGTTTTTCGAGTTACTTTTCCCCTCACTTCCAATTAATTTAAGGGATTGGGTGCGGTATTATTTCAATGGTGCGAAACTGTCACACACATGTACACCTCATACCCCGAAGTTGGGGAGGGCGTGACTGCTTATTTTACTTGAATGTGACGGATTGCTTGAATGCTTGAATGAATGCAGTTTTTTTAGTTGCAATCATGTTTTCGTGCAGCACAAGACAGAGTGACAGTGGTCTCAAATAGAAGCTATACCACGAGAAACGCTTCCTTT